CCTTGGCTAGGTACTTACCAGGGGCGCTGTGGCCATGGGGACTAATAACCTTGATAAGGCATGTCAGGCGGGGCTGTGAGTGGCTCTCTTTTGCACACCTGGCCTCAGGAGGCCGTGCAGAGGTGTGACCCTTCCTGCCCCATTCACTAGCAGGTTCCCCAATAAATCTCCCTTCCCACACATGGCAGCATCTAGAAACAGCCTTTGGGCTGGGGTCCCATGTAGGCTCCCCCCCCCCCAACATTTTCTTTTCTTTTCTGGATTAGGATTTTTTTTTTCTTTACTGAACAGCTAGAATGCACCGCAGAGATGCCCTGAATCTCATTTCCTGCGCCGCAGTCTTGTTAAGCTATTTTTTGGTCTCTTCCCATTGTCCACGCATAGGTGGGTCCCCACACAGCTTCTCCGCAGTTGTCTTCACTACTTACGTTCTGCAGGGTTTTGTCTGATTTGTCGTTACTGCAGTGTTAGGGAGTCACCTGCGTGGACTCAGGACGGGGTTGGGTGGGCGAGGACCTCACTGCACAGCTCTGGGGAAGGCTTGGTCCTTGTCCTCTGCCCAGGGTGGAATGTCCTGGAGGGGTGCAGGGCATCCTTTGGGGGAGTTAACTCTTTTCCCTCCTGGAGCCTGTGGGAGGGACACAGACCGTGTTCTTGTCTTCATGGTATGTGGAGCTGCCCCTTGTAAAAGCCAGATGGCATTTTACATGATTCAGCAGACGATTTTGATTTCTTTAGGAACAAACACATCCAGGCAACCTATGGTGTTCCCTGGTGAGGCCAAAAGCACGGTGGGCGAGGTCCTTAGCTGCAGGGCGTGAAGGCCACAAGTCCGCAGCGTGGTGCCCAGAGCCAGCAGGACCTGCATCCCCACGGGCTTCTGTGTGAGACCAGAGAGGGAAGATCAAATCGGTGCGGGTGTGGGGTGGGGAGGCAGGAAGGGGAAACGTGTTTCTCACTGATTCACCTGACATCTTTGGTGAAAAGGGTAATATACAAGTTTTGCATTTCCAAAACTTTTTTTAAAAAATGTATAATTTCTGATAGGAGTTATTCAGTGAATTATTATATAGGCCATTGCTTTCTTAAAAATACTAGCGTGAATGCAGTTTGAGCTCTCTAAACAATTCGAAGTCAGCATTTTGAGATTAAAAATAGGAATCACTTTCAGGCTGACCTTTACCCCATTGGGCTCAAAATCAAAATGCCCCATAACACTGTTTACTTTATGTGCACTCCTTTTTTGTTTTAATTTAGTTTTTCAGTAACATGCCCACCTTCAACTAGAAGGTCCCTCCCAAGTCAGTGATGATGAAACATTCTACAAGCATGCTTCAAGAAGCTCATGGAAAAATAGAATTTAAAGATCATACAAATCTTTCCATGAACTTTTTGAAGTACCCTTGTGTGGATGTGTGTGTGTTGTGTGTGTGTGTTTTTCAGCAGGGGGAGGGTGCTGAGGTTAAGAAAGATTATGTGTAACTACCCCAAGGTTAAGCGGGTGATTCGTAGTAAAGCCCAGATTCAGAAACCAGTAATCAGGCTTATTAGAATTACTGTCTGCATATTGCAGAGTCAGTGGGCTTGGGACTGCTAGTTAAATATGGTAAATTAAAAACACATGTTATCTGTCACTCTTCCAAAACACTACAAAAAAAATAATAGTGAAGAAAGAAAAAAATGCACATAATGCTGCAAAGGGGAAAAGAAAAACTTGGGGGATGCAATAAAAGGCAGGATAAGCCCAAGCAGGTGGGAGAGTGTCGCCCCTGCCTGGCACCTCTGGGGAGGGTTGGGGTAGGAGGAGGGACTGGTAAGGAGTCTTTAAACAGCTGGGTTCTCTCTCCTGCCCTTAGCACCGGTCGACTACTTGCCCCCAACCCAGGTGGAAAACTGAAGATTTATTCTGGAGAAGTTGAACCTCAGGCCCCGCAAAGGGTAGGACTGAGGCACTTAACAGAAAATGGGGACGCAGGGAGAGTCAGCACAGTATGGTGCCCGGCCCCATCCCCTTATTTGGGCTAAGTACCTCCAGACAGGGGGACTGGAAGAGCCTTGCCTGGGCCACTGACAGCTGCACAAGATGTCCCCCAACCCTGTACTGATGCCTGCACCCTGCCCGTTCGGTCAAACTCCAAGCAGACGTTAAAGCAAGGTGCATCGTTGTAGGTAAAGAGACATCTCACAAGGACAAAAAAATCAGCTCCCTAAATTAGTTGTGCCAAAAGAAATGTTTTCAGAACAATCAGATCCACAATTGTAATAGTCTCTATACTGGAAATATATAACTAGAAATTGGAATTTTGAAAAAGATACCATTTATAGTATCATAAGATGTCAAGAACATAGGACTGAGGCATCTGAACCTAGGACAGAGACGTGAGTGGCCACTGCGAAAGCTACGAATCATTACCAAGAGCAACTAAAACCCTAAATAAACGGAGGAACATGCCACCGTCATGGGTTAGGACACTCTGCATGTAAACTAATTCAAAGACTTGTTTTGTGGGAACAGAATTGAGCACGGAAGGATGTAGCAAGGGTTTGCTATTTTTCTTTTTTTTAATCCAGGAAGAAGAGATTGGCTTTTAAAACTACATATATTTCGGGCCGGCCCGGTGGCGCATGCGCTAGTGCGCCGCTTGGGAAGCGCGGCGGCGCTCCCGCCGAGGGTTCGGATCCCACATACAGACCGGTTCCC